CGGCTGGCCGCGCAGAAACTTCGAGCCCCTGAGCTCTGGGGAAGCGGACTGGACGCTCAAACCAGATCCGAAAGTCCCCGGGGTCACCGGCCGCTTTATAACTCTGACATTTTCATGGAACGCGTCTGAGCTTGAAAATAAGTGCCCGGGGCCTTGGGCCAAACCGGGCTTGGGAGAACGGCGGCGGGGAGTTGGCGGTGGGAAGGGAGGAGGGGAGGGCGGGGGGCTGATCACTTAGCTCCCTTCGTGCCCCTGGAGTTTGAATCGGGAGCGGCGGCCCCCAGCCTGCTGGGCCCAGGAAGCGGAGTGGGAGAGGGGCGGGGAGGAAAGAGCCCACGCTGCCCGCGGTTTCTCGTGTCACCTGGGCTCCCACCCTCCTGGCCAAGCAAAGCGCCAGCCTGAGTCCTTTTGGCTAGTTCTTTGGTGGTCGCTGGCTCTGAAGCAGCAGCTCCGCTTTTCCCCGCGGCGAGGGCGCGGTTGGGGTGGGAGTGGAGGAAGCTTCTGCAGCACTGGGAGATGATTCAGGCATCCCATCGTCTCGGTTATGTCTCTTTAAACACGAGAGAGCAGAGAAGGTGCAGGGATAGCCTACACGGCTGCTCGGACACTCCGGGAGGTCCCGACAGCCCTCACTCTGACCTGAGAGGGCGCTGGGGGCGAGGGCGTGGGAAGTCCAGCGCAGGGCTGGGCACAGGCCGGCGCGGTCCGGGTAGCGAGGTAAGTGATTAGCGAGGCTTTGTGAATTAGCCATAGCTACTTCTACTTCGGGAGTAAATTTTCCTGCTGCCGCCTTAAGTGGCCGCGCTCATAAATCCTTTCCTCCTTGCCAGATGCCTCCCGCCCCAGGTTCTGCCCTGGTTTTCCTGTGCATACTTCCAGAGCTCATCTGTCCATTTCACAAAGCAATCTCCATGGAGACTCCCATGAACTTGTAGGTTTCTTGAAATTGGTTAAGAAGTCCTCAGGGTGGCAGCCAAGGGTGCTGGGGGGGTGGGGGGGGGCTCTGTTTGGAAGTTTAAGTGGGCCACCTGATGAATAGTTGTGGAATCAACTGCGTGACTCCCCGTGGAATTCGCCCGCTGTTATTGGGTGCACAACGCCTGGGGTGCGGGCTGGGAGAGGGACCGGGCAGTGAGAGAACTATTTGGAGAAAGGACAAGTTAAAGTCCCGAAGGATGCCAAACAGGAGATCTGACATCCCTGCCCAGAGCTTACTGCAGCCAAATTACAAAAGACTGCACAGGAAAAGGGATCGATAAAGATAAACTGGAGGTTGTAAATGGATTCATATTGGAAGAAGAAAGGAGAGATGAAAGTAAAAGATGCTCAGGGAAGACAACATTTGCCACTGGTGCTGTGTTTCTTCTTATAGATCAGGAGAGCCAGAGATTAAGACTCAAACCTGCTCTTCAGATCTTAAGTGGAAGAGTAAAATGTTTTCTATTGGATGTGTGTATTTCAGTACTGGTCTCCTCCATTTAGTTTACTTAGTGTTTTCAGTTCCTGGTGAATAAACTATTTGTGTTTGAATCTTGCGATCTTCGAAAGACATTATTTCACCTCTTTTATCTTTGTCATCCTCCATGTTCCCTGATACCAGCCCTTCCTGCCTTGTCTGTTAGGTATCAGAAATGTAGAAAGTGCCAAACTCTACTAGTGGCTATTATCAGCTACTATCACATCACTCACTCCATTTCCCTGCCTGCTTACTGTCAAAGCACCATGGCAATTCCTTCCAGATTTGGACTTTTATCATGGTCTCGTGGTCAGTTCTCCTTTTCCTTCTAATTTCTTGTCTTTTCTCCTCCTTGTGGACTACATGCTAGCGCAACACAAGATGTTGTTGCTCCCTGGAAGTATGATTTCCATGTGTTGAGGATTTCAGCATCAGAATGAACTATTTTTATGAATGACAGAACATATGCAATTATGATGAGAAAGTTAATTTAAGCATGTTACAATGTGGATGAGGTTTTTTTATTCTGTTGTTAGAGAAGTACTGGAAAATTAAAAGTTGTAGGAAATGTGTCTCTTCAGAGATAGCCAAGAAAACAACAGATGTTTAAGATGAAAAAACATAGTGAGTGTGCTGCGTTTTGTAACTATGCTTTAAAGAAAGACAGCAGTCACTTTAAGCAGGTCCTTGGGAGATTCTCTAGGCTTTAGGCAACAACTTTCTCCTCTCAGGCTGTGCCCTAATTGTTTCATTCAGGAATGCTGGGAACTCCTAGCTCTAGGGAATTTGTGGTGGTTCTGACTTTCAAGAATGAACGATTTTAGTAGGAAAAGTGTGTGTGTGTGTGTGTGTGTGTGTGTGTGTGTGTTTGAATGGTGTGCCTCAGAATTAGTGTCCTATTTCATAAGTGCATTTTATTTCTGGACTATACAGCATTGAAATTCTGAATTCTGCTTATCTAGCACCAACTAGTGTTTCCAGTGTTAACACCACCAAACTCAGAACAGAAAATGACTGAAGAGTCTAATCATATTAGGATAATTCTCTACTGTCATAAACTGATTTATAATATTTTTGATAAACAAGTAATATACTTCCCATAACAGGGTAAAAATTGCTTTCGTACATATATACATGTTGGTATGGTACAATTGACATAAAAACACACACACACAACCTTGAATTTCATTACAATTATACTATCTATGTTCCATTTTAGGAGCAGAGTAAATTCATCAATTCACATTTGGAATTTGCAGTAAGGAAAATTAGGCTAGCTTACCTTTGTTTAAACAAATAATGTCATGCATTCTCACTTAGAGGATGCTTAAAAGACTTCAGAGTACAAACTTCTCAAGTATTTGCATAGAGTAGGAATCATTCGATTGTTCACATTTATTGACCCCTTGGTCTTTTGTGTTCTGGATACTGGGGGTTCAGAACTGAACACGACAGGGTCCTCTAACATCTCCCATTGTAGTCCTAATCAGAATCCATACTGATCTTTTTAAAGCAACCCCCAAGTATATGAACAGGCATGAGGCATGAGCTCTATTAGGCCACCCCTCTTTGCTTATTTATAATTATTGTTGAGACTTAAAAATAACTGTTCTCCAGTGTGTGCTAAGTTCCCCAGTGAGTGTGAACAGAACAGCTAGGGTGTGGTCTGTGAAGCCTTAACTGTGTCTAGCACTTTTCTGATTTAGGTCATGGCTTTGCTGGAGCAGCAGAGGGAGTCACTGGCAGAAGAAACATTAACGTTACAGGCTGCAGCCACTTCGGAAAGATAAAGGGGGGAAGTGTGGGGCAGGGACTAAGACAGCGCTCTTGCCTTCTGACTTTAGATTTTAGCCTACCTCTTTTTCAGTCTGACTTTTGTATTTGTGGCAGTTAAAAACAAACCTGCTCACGTTTCTTCGCAAATCAAAAACTTACTAGCTCATTTGGGTGGTGGTGGTATTCGAAGTAAAGTCCTTAACAAACAAGTATCTTACGCTTATTATGTCCCGGGTTGTGTGCTATTTGTTAGGGATGCAGAGTTGAACGAGATAATTTTTCAGAAAGACAGATGTATAAGTATATCGTGGAAACTCACATTCTGAAAGGTAACAGTGGGCACAGGTGTAGTACTTGCTGAACTCAAGCATCCAATGACAGTAAACCTAAGTCAGGCTAGGGGATTTTGGTGGGGGTTCTAAAATTTCTACGCAGAGGAACTTGAGGGTGGCCGCTTGGTGGGAAGGTTGCAACTACCTTAAATTAAATCTTACTTAGATGACATATATGTTTAGCTTGGTTTGGGGGAGGCATAAGCTAAAGACAGTTAGTCGTGTGTGCCCATTCTGCCATTTATCTTAGTGGTTAACACCTTCTCAAGATCCTGCCTCCGTGTTGGGCAATGAATGAGTTATTTAGTGTCCCTGTGCCTCAGTGTCCTCTGATATAAAATGAGGATCATGACAAGTCATATTCGGATTGAAAGTGAGTTAACACATGCAAAATATGTACAGCAATATTCTTTGTCTTCCAACCTGTAAACCATTGGCAAAGAAATCTAAAGTTGAAGAAATGAAAGGTGAATAATTTTGAACTCAGAGTGGGATGGCTGAGCCATCTGAGGAGATGCTCTGAAGTGTATGGCTGTGAACTCCTGGGCAGGGCATGGTTCCTTGAACGATGTGGAAGCTCTCTCCTTTCAGAGTCCCACTTCTCCCTTTCTGCTTCCTCTGCGGAAATTAACCCAATGCCAGTTCTAAGAGTGCCAGGTCAAGTCCGGCCATTTAGGTCCTGGCTACAAGCTCCACCCTTGACTTGCTTTCTTTACAATGAATATTGAAGGGGAAAAAGACTTCCATAAACAAATAAACACTTGTATTAAAAGAAAACACATACCAAGTCCCATGTTTTCAGATCAGGTTTGGGGAAAACAGCCCTTTATAAAATGTCAGTAGGTTTTCTTTAAAAAAAAAAAATGGGTACAGGTGTACAGTCTGA